TGGGCACCTGACTATACCCAAATCCCTGAGTGTTAGTGTTTTGTTGTGGTCCTAATCCAAAATCCTCGAAGCTTGTCCATCCTTCATGCTCACCTACACTGTCGTACTCATCCCTACCATCTTGCTATTGGGATTCGATATGTGAATAATTTGGCTGGGATTGGGTGGCCTCAAAATCATCATCTCCCTCATTTTCCCTTAGACCCCTTCCCACTCTCCCTCATTAGGTGCAATATCACCGACATCTCCGCTAAATTGTGGATATGTTGGTGGGCTGCTTCCTCTTTCATGCTGCTCATCACCTTCTTCAAGATCTTCCTCACCGATAGCCTCGTTCTCTTGTGCAACACTGGCTCCTTTTCTTCTACTACCCATTGTTCTACTGTGTCTGTGACAAATATTGTGTTTAAGTCTATCGGTCTATAGTCTTCAAGCTTCATTTTTATTTATTGCTCTCGGAGGTTTAAGTTGTAATTAACATAGACTAGTTTATGAAGCTTCTCTGAAGCGAGTTGATTCTTCCTAGTAGTGTGCAACCATTAGAACATACTCCAATTTCGCTCACACCTAGTAGCAGAAGTTGTCTGGGAGAGCACCTTGATTGCTATCCTCTTTAGGTGAGGTGCATCACTACCATATATCTCCCACCATTCAGCTGGATTAAAATGCAAAAAGCATTGTAAGGGTAAGAACAATTCATAAGATTAAATATATGAATGAACAAAATATTAGTTTGGGGATAACCTGGATCTATCTTAGTTCGAGACTTCCTGGCAAGTCTAGTTTCGAAGGATCCTATAACATCCTTTTACATAACAAGATAAAACAAAATATTTCGTTTTAATGTATTATTCCTCACAAATATAACAACTTAATCAAGTTCTTACCCAAATATTAAATAATACCTCTTGTATTGTTGCTACCTGGTTTCGATGGCTTTTCTTCAACTTGGCAATAATGTATCTAACCTCTTCTATAACCTTTGTGGGGATGTTCAGGTGTCAAATAGAAAAATTTTGGGTTAAAGTAATAACCTAGAAAATATATAGATAGAGAAAGGTCATTTAAAATTTCATAAAAAAATAATTTAAAATTAAACATTCTAATGATACAAATATATATTTACCTGCATAATGAATTGGACGTCCAAATTTGGTGTTCCACCTTCTTTCTATAATCTCGATCACTTTACTAGCAAAACTACACTTCTCCCCAATAGCTGATTTAGCCCTCTCGATACCTTCGTAAAGGATGCCTATGGTAGCTTTCTTGTTAGCATCCACTATTCTTAACACCGTGACCAAAGGGGCAGTGACCTCAACGACAGTGGAACATCGATAACAGAACCTCCTATTTGAGACTATGCCGTCCACTTTTAGCCTGGTACTGGACTTCGAGAGGCAGTCATTTAACTACTTTTCATTGGTAAATAATCTCTTTAATGCACCTTCAGATTCCCGAATGGAGTTCACATCCAAGTAATCTGTCGCAAAGCGGGTTATGGCAGGCTTGATTATCTCTTTTTTCTTAGACTGTTATCTGAACAAAAATAAAATTTTAGAGTGGTTATATATAAATCTTGACACCAACTCCGCTTCCTGTAGAGTCTCCTTCACAATTTTGATTTCATCGATCTCCTCTAACATAAGATCGATGTTGTGTGTAGCACACGGGGTCTATACTAGATGATTCCTCTTATTCATCAACTTGCTGCCTGCAGAAACACATGCACGCGCATTGTCTGTAATAAACTGGACTACATGCTTATCTCCTGCGTCCTCCACTATCCGATCATATAGTCGTACCAAGAAGTTTGTATCATTCTTTATCCTTGATACATTTTTGCTAGACAAAAAAGCTGTACCTTTTGGGGAATAGGCCAAGAAGTTAAAAAACTCCTTTTCACTAACTTTATTCAACCAATCATCACTCATGAGAGTAATGCATGTTCTTGACCAACTCTGTTTATATTCTTCAATCCACTTTTTAACTTCCTCCACATCTTCATCCAAGATTGGCCCATTGAGCTCATATGCCGTCGGGGGTTTTATCTTGGACCTGACTCTCTGGATTGCATTGACTATAGGTAAAAAATATGGGCTATTGACTGCATCAAAGGGGATCCCTTTGTCGTAGAACTATTTACCAACATATCTGCCCAACATGTTATTCGTACCTTTCACCATGCCTTTAAGGGTTATCTGTTGCGACTTAGGCTTTGAGAGAAATATGTCTATACGACTATGACCTGCAATATTGACACTCTTAGATAAGTTAGAAACAAACGTGTAATTCCTCTTGATACATATTACCACCAACCCCTCCATACATATTTGAGCTGGGCCCGCCATGCATGTTCGAGTTGGGCCCGCCATGCATGTTTGAGCTAGGCCCACCATGCATGCCCATGTCATAACCACCAGGTATTCTAAACCCGCGTTCCCTCTAGTATGTTTCCTGTAAACTCATTCTTGTAGCCATCTCCAAGTTATTATTATATTGCTCTTATGGATCATTCCTGCTTGATGGCGTATATAAACTAGCTATCTCCTCATCCATCCTCTGCTTTGTAATTTTTTTACCTTTGGTATCTTTGAAAAATGCCACCATCTGCTTTCTTACATTACTAGGGACACTATTGCACGTAGAAACATCTTCCTTAACCCTTGCCAAGTGTTGCTTGAACCTATGTACCCCATTACTTATCACTCTTTGGCAGTAATTACAAGTAATTTTGTCTTTTTTGTTGGGATCAAGTCTGACCCCATGTTGCCATGCAGGGTCTTCCACAGATCTTGTCATGGTTCAACTGTTTTAATATGTAAAGGGTTAAAAATTAACCTGACAGTTCAACATGAAAAATAATCACCATGTATAGTGATAATATGTAAGGGTAGTTCATGAAGTTATATTTGTTGTTAATGCAAAATACTTTTATTGACAAAAATATTTTAGTTCCTACTAGAAAAAAAAATTTACTTTGATATAGTATCAATAAAAAATATATTTACAATGTTATAGTAATTCACAATGCCAGTACATATGGACTTGTCACAAATCTTCATTTCGGCAAATATGAATTAGTTCCTATTGAGAAAAAAAGTATTTATGCAATATTATAGATAAAAAAAAATCTGTATAAGTCACACTTAGAATAAAGAAAAAAATTACAATAATATAGTCATCCATAATGCCACTACACGTATATTTGACACAAAAAACATTTACAATGATATAGTCATTCACAATGCCACATATAAAATTTACATTGATATAGTGGGCACAATCCCAACTCAATTGAAATGACCACAAATAGTCGTACATCTCAATTACAAATATGCAAGATAATATAATAAAAAATGCAAGCTCTAAATATGGCTACAACTCAATTATCAAGAATATATATACATTTATGTATCAACATACATTTTTTGTATTAAAAATTTAATAATAAAATTGAAAAATGCAAGATAATATAATTATTATACATGCCACGATTTTTTGACTTTAATTCCTCATGATAATACAGTTTAACAAGATGTATTTTTTGCATTAAAAATTTAAAAATTTAAAACTACATTTTTAATGCAAAACTGCATTAAAAATATAATACAGTTTAACAACATGTTAATGTATTTTTTTGCATTAACAACAGATTAAAAAATGCAGTTTTGCATTAAAAATATAATAACATGTATTTTTTTGCATAAATAATCTATCAACATGTAATTTTTTGCACTAAAAATTTAACAATAAAAATTAAAAATACTGTTTAATTCCTCATGATAATCAAAACCTGGTCACGATTTTCACAATTTTTTGGAAAATCATGATTTTTCAAAAAATTGATAATGAATTTTTTTTTTTTTAAAAAAACGCAGTTCTTCACAGACCCACCTAACATCAGTCATTACAACTCAAAAGTCGGCCTCAAATCAAATAAATTATATCAAATTGAATACATGTTTTGATAAACAACACTATAAGGAATCAAAGCCCTATAATATTAACACATTATTATCAAAAAATTAAATAAAATCGACTGAATTGGGGACAAAAAAAAAAAACACAGTTCTTCATAGACATCAGTCGTTCAATTTAAAAAATAAGCTCAAATTGAACAAATTAGATCAAATTGAATACATGTGATGATAAACAACACTATAAGGAATCAAAACGCTATAAATTTAACACATTATTTATAAAATATTAAGTAAAATTGATAGAATGACGGAAAAAAAAAAAAAAACCGCAATCCATTTTTTCTTAATAGACATCAGTCTTTTTTTCTCAACAGACATCAGTCTTTTTTTCTCAAAAATCAGTCGCAAATTGAATAAATAAAATCAAATTGAATACATGTGATGACAAACAACACTATAAGGAATCAAAACCCTATAAATTTAACACATTATTTGTAAAATATTGAGTAAATTTGATAGAATGGACGGAAAAAAAAAAAAAACGCAGTTCTTACCTGTTTTCCGTACACCCGTGGCTTCAAATTCAAATTTGTTATGTAATCGTCCAAAATACTCACAAATTATGAACAAAAACTTCTGAACAACACTCTTACGATCAATAACCCTTAGATTATACAAAAAATAATGCTCTCTTTTGTTTGAAATTAGAGAAATGGCGAAACCCTAAAACTCACGTTTCGTTCTTCACATATCCAAAATTTTGTGATTAAAATTGGTGATTTTTACTGCCTTTTATTGACTTGAATGGCTGAAATATTTAAATTAAAACCTACAAGATTCGATTTTAAAGCTGAAAAAGATAAAAAATGATAAGAAAATGACAAAAAACCATGAAAATCGTTAAAAACACTGTGTAGCGCGTATTCTTGGGTGAATTACTATTGAGAACCGGCCTGCAACGGCGATTCACTATTGAAAATCGCCCAACTCTCTCAAGTTACGCCGAGGTTTTCAAACCCTCAATGTAACCTTATTTAATGAAAATATTGTTTAATCTTACAAAAGAGAGAAAAAAAACTTGAGTAAAGGGTGGTTCCTAAGGGAAACCATTGGTGGATGCAGGACCATGCCGTCCTACTTCCAGTTCAATCTCGACCGATGGCACATCCGGATTGGGAATCGCCTACTTTTAAAACACACCATGAACTCAAGATTACCCTCTAATGGCGGCTGTATCCTTGAGCTGCCCCTTCCTTCCCTCTGCAACTTCTTTACTCTCACATTGTAAGAGGAGGAATGTATTACCGACAAAACCAATTGTTCAATCCTACTTGCCCCCTTCGCCTTCAAAGGTCTGTCTTGAGTCTCTTCTTGAAAGTCTCTCTCGCTTTGCTAATGAGTTTGTGCAATGTGCAGTTTTACAGGCCTTACGCAAGCGTGCTGATAGTTCCCACTGGGGTTGGTGCCTCCATCGGTGGCTATGCTGGAGATGCTTTGCCTGTTGCTCGAGCTCTCTCTTCCATTGTCGACACTCTCATCTCACACCCCAATGTTAGTGATCGCTTTTATTGATCACATGTCTCATCTGTGTTTTCGCCCCCCCACACCCTCTCTCTATTATCTCGTCTCAAACCTCATTTTTCAGTCATTTCTTTCTCTCTTCTCATTTCTCACCCCCCATTCCCCAATTTAGTTCTCTGCCATAAATTTAAGGACCAAGCTTTAGTTTCCCAAAATTTCAGCACAAGTTCATTCAAATTCATCTTTTTTTAATAATTTCAAATGTTGGGTTACTTCTCTAAAACATTAACAAGGGAAACTCAGCTGTTTTTGTTTGAGTTTTTGTTTTCTTAGGAGCCAACGCTATGCATCACAGGGGCGATCTTGCATAAGAGAATAACAAAAGTCATAGTTTTTGGTTTTCCATTTCCTTTTGGCTTTTGGGTTAAACATTCGAATTTGTTGAACTTTTTTAGAGAGATTAATCAAATTAATTAGTTATTTTATTATTTGAAAATCAGGTGTTAAATGCTGCGATGCTGTACTGGCCAATGCCAAACACTCTGTATGTTGAAGGGTATGCACTCGACAGATTTGCAGAAGGGATCTGGGCACTTCAACCTGTTCTTCAAAACAAGGTAAGGATAATAATATTAATATTAAATATAAAGGCAGTAGTATTAGCGTCAGTGGCACTAGGCTTGTCAATGGGCCAGGCGTCTTTTCATTTTTTTTCCTGTGTTGTATTTGGCCCGGCTTGGCTAGGCCCGACCCCAGCCTTGGCTCTGCCCTGACAGGGCTAGGGCTGGGATTGCGCTATGGCCTTTTCAACTAGGTTTGGGTGGGGTCAGGCAGGCCCTATTAAGATAAGGACCCTGCTAGGTTCGAGGTTGGCCCGACCCAGCCCTAGTAACTCCTATTGTAAATTTTAATGTGTAATAGTGCAATTACTATTCCCAAAAGATATTCTATTCCGCGGGAGTAGAATTAATTTTAGGACTCTAGTTTTGGGGATGTTACCTCTTCAACCTATAGATTATTAACTAATAAGAAAAGATTTCCTAATTTTACCCTATATGCACATGAAAAAAATAATGTCTCGAGATTGAATAGAGACCATCCAATTTATAAATGGTACGATTTAAGTGTTAGAAAAACTCAAATTTCAAATTTTTTTTTTCAGAATCATCATCGAGTAATTCTTGTGGTTTCAAAAATTTTGGATTGAAAAAAATCCTCCCAAGTAGTTCTTCTGACCGAGGAGTAGAAGTAAACTACGCTCCCGAGGGAGCTTAGTATAGGTGCTCATTACTATTTTACTGTTGTCGCTGGTTATATGTCTTTGAATGGCTGTTGAATTTGTTTAGTTGGTCATTCCTTTTGATTGAACATTTTATTTTAATATTTTTACTCCCAAAAGATTTTCTTTTTTTGTTTTCTTCAATTTGGTATTTTTTTTGTTTGAAGAAAGAGATATTTTTGATTTTCAAAGTCCAAATATTCATTCTTTCGTTGGGTTTCCGCGTACAGGTGGGTCTGGTTTTGGATAGTGGAATAGAGGAGGAGTTGAGAATTCGCCATTTGCAGGTGGCCGATGCAGCAAGGGCTTCCCTTGGCCTTCCTCTTTGGGATTACATTGTTACAGACACCCCTCTTGAGGTTCATGAACTGCATAATCCATCTATAACTTGTTGCTCTGTTTTTCTATTCAAACTACAAAAATGAATTGCTAGTTCATGTACGTAGCTTTTTGCGTTTATTTTTAGTTCTTAATTGTAGCCTATTTGAGAAATCTGGGTTTCCATAGGTTGAGAATGGGAGATTTGCAATTTAGAAGAAATGGTAATGCTAGAGAATAATTTCTACCTTTATATTTGGGTGCAGTTTGCACAAGGTTGCAATCATAGACGATTAAAGTAAGGTGCACCTCCAAACTTTGTAATGAGATGCTATTTTGGTGTCAAAAATTCTTAGGATGGTGCGAGAATATAAAATTTTAAACTTAAAGACAGTTCAAATCAAGTATATCTATAAACACATGAAAATCTTGAAAATGAACGGTTTAGATGATATGTTGCAAGATGTACTATTTTTAGGACTTAAAATCTCATTTTTTCTCCATATCTATACATCTCGATGTCGAGATGATTAATTAAGTATTTTTCCAATATCAAAACAACCTTTTTTGACGGATTTTAGAGGTGCACCTTAATTCTACATTTTAAGGTGTCAACCTTGTATACCCTTTCTCTGTTATATTTAATGTGATGAAAGGTACTGCTTTTTTTTCTTGGTCTAGCGATTTTGTCTGTTGGCCTTGTTAATTTGGGTAGTTAATTGGCTTAACTAAGTGATGAATACGAATGGTTCTATGCTGCACTCTGGTTTCTATGTTTGCTAGATTTGGTCGGGTGTGGCAAATGTACAACAATGAGAAAATGTACTATGAATTCTCTAATAAATTGGTTAGATATTTAATAAATTTCCGTCTTGTTGCAAATTTGAAAAATGTAAGATCAAGGTGCCTGATTCTACGACTAGAATATCACATAAAGCTTGATTTGGATGAATTCACTATGTGCAAATCATGCTTTCACATGTTTGATATGATTATGTAATGTTTCTTTCCTAGGGAAGACTGTGTTCTGGTTCCCAATTTGTGGATCTACTGGGTTTTGAAGAGCTAGCATCTTTATGATATTGGCTTTAGGGTGCCATTTGCTAGAGCTCTTTGGCATTAAGAGTCTAAAACCTAGAGCTATCAAATACAAGTGCAATGTTTTCTGCATGTATACCCCTTCCCTATAATATACACATGCAGTAGAAGGGCTGACACAATCACTCAGATAACGGCTGGCAACCAAACCTCTGACCAGTCTCTTCAGGTTCAAAGGGTCATCGTCAAATACTTCTAAAAGTTATTTACAGCCAACTCTGGTCTGCGGCCTCAGATGACTGACCGACCTTGTAAAAGCAATTTACAGTCAAGTCTGGCTCATGGCCTGGGATGACTGACCTTTGCTTCTTGTTCCTTCCTAGTGAAAAGCTGATTGGCTAGAAATGCCTTTCTCAAAACAAGGCAGTTGTCACTTCCCTAGGCCAGGACAAGACATAGGGACCCAGCTCGTTACCAATCCTCCTCTTCAATAGGTTTTGGGATACTATGGGCCGTGATCTCCTGGCCTTTTTGGTTAATGAATTTTTTCACAGAGACTACATACATAGGGGAATGACTGCTACCTTCTTGGCCTTGGTCCCAAAATAGAAAGAGGCATAACATATCAAATATTTCCATTCAATTAGCCTCCTAGCAGTACATACAAAATCATAAGTAGTACATACAAAATCCTAACCAAGTTACTCGCGTCAAGTCTCAAAGAGGTTCTTAACCTTGTGATCTTCCCTACTCAGTAGGCCTTTGTGGACAATGGACAAATTCTAGTTGGGCCTTGATTATCCACAAGGCTAGTTGCTCTAGGAAACTTTTGGGTGAGCTCCTCTCAAGAATGGCCCTTCGTCGACGATGGAGGTCCTGGATTTAGGGTTGTATCTCTTCACTCTTCTTTCTTCACCTCAATGGTCTGCCAGAGGCACTCTTTGCTGCTTTCTGTGACCTTGAATAGGGACACCCCTTATACCATATAGGCATCCTTAAAGGCTTTCACTCGTGCAACAGATATGGCGACGATACACTCATTTTCTGTAATGCGCGCCTAGAATGGCTAGACACTCTTTGCTTTTTCCTATGGTGCTTTGAGGAGTCGACCTGCATGAAAGTAAACATGAGCAAGACGAAAATCATGGGCATAGGTTTGAGGCCTAGTGAAAGCACCAAACTCTCACAGAGTCAGATGTGGTGTCAAACCACTGCCTTGGAAATATTTAGGACTACCTACATGCATCGGTAAACCTGGGAAGCACTTAAGGAATCTACTTGTAGAAAAATTCCATCTCTCAGGCTTGCAGCATTAAGGGAAGATTTCTCTCTTTAGGGGTCCCTAACACTATGACAAAAGCTACTCTTGCAAACATACCTTCTTCCAAATATCCCTATTTCGTATGCCTGATTCTGCCAAAAATGAGAAACTCATGAGGGGTTTCCTATGGTCTTGGACTAGTGCCACCCTTCAAAATTCATCAAATTGCATGGGACACTGTTTGCCTACCAAAAATGGGGGGTTGCATCAGCATTAGAAAATTGGGGGAATGTAACATTGCCCTTTTGAGCAAATGGTGGTGGCACTTTGCATCACAAGATAACCAACTGTGGCAGCAGGTGATCCGTGACAAACATGACCCTGACGATTGGGTCGGTTCCCTAGATTTTCTCCTCATTGTGCTTTGGGGGTTTGGTTTGGAAAAGCGTAGGCCATATTTCTTCGCTTTTCATGAGATTAATTACATACAGGGACGATTTGAGGGACAAAATTCAGTTTTGGAAAAATATATGGTTCGAGAACATTTCTTTATGCCCTCTATGGCCAACTCTTTTATGGTGCAATTGATTTATAGAACTTCTACCTCTGGGATCCAAAAGTTCTAGGTTTCTGTAGCATTTTCGTGCTACAGTGAGAGGCCCATTTGGAACTTCTAATTTCCACAAAAATGTGGGTGCCACCAGTTCCAACCGCCTCCCCCCATGGAAGACTGAAGTTTGGAAATGGTTGATGGACTAAAAAATCCTTTCAAATATATTTCCTACGAATTTTTTATTTTTATTGTAAAATGCAAATCTAAACTGATTTTGGAGGGTTTGTGCACCTCATTGGGACACATTTAAAAATATAACAAAAGACTAAGAGAAAATTAAAATGAGTAAATACCCTTCAAATATTCAGTGTATTTTTTTCATTTTACTTTTTTGAAATATTTATTTTCAATGTTTTAGAGGTTTGTGAGGGATACAAGAACAGATGCCCCCAATTTCAGCTTATTATCATGCATGTAAAAAAAAGATAAAATGCTCATTTTACTTTTTTGAAATATTTATTTTATATTTTTTGGAGATTTGTGAGGGATACAAGAATGGATACCCCAAATTTCAGCTTTTATCATATATATATATATATATAAAAGATGAAATGCAAATAGTAAGACATGCTATCAGCCATCCAATCAAGATCAGATGTTTGAGATTGATAGCCTTTTAGGTGAACTACAATGTGGACTAGTTGGTCATTTTAAAAAAGTTGCTCATATTCATCCATTTTTAGTTTTTCCCAATATCGGTTCGAGATGAAATTTGGAGCATCATTACAAAAAATGTTGCTTTTTTGGGAGAGAGGAAGGAGAGCGTTTTGTTTGGTGGTGGTTGGGGGGGGCGGGGGCTAGGGTGCCCAACACCTAGGTGGGTGCCTAGGCAGCTGCCTAGAACCTCATGCACCCTGAGATGCCCATATTTACACATATATGCATATATGTGTTGTCCGAACGCACATATATGCGTATGTGTCAAAAATAAATATTTATGATATTTATGCATTTATATGTATTCTAACTAATTTTTTAAATGGAAATACATGTGTATGAATGTTGAAACACGTTCAAATCATTGAAAATTTTGATTCTTTGATTAACTGAAAGTCTGAAATAGATAGTGAAAAGTAAAAACAAGTCATAGTTTGTTAGTGATTTATTGTCCATACACCATACTCCTAGTGTTCAAAAAGGCATAGGCAGTCTAGGTGTTTTAGGGGCCAGATCGCCTAGGCGGCAGGGTCCCCTCCTAGGCGGGCACCCATGAATAGGGAGGGGTAGGGACTATTAATTAAGATAAAAGTTATAATATAATTATTATTTATCAATTTATATCCATAATATTTGGTTTTGGATATCAAATATTTACAAAATATTAATTTCATCCAAAGTTTGCCACTATCCACAAAATAGAAGGCCAAATCAGTAAATGTTCCATCTACAAATGTGTAAAAATATAAAAAAAGAAAAACAAAACTAATAGATGTCACGGATTTGGTTTGGGGTTTAGAATGTCCCCCAAAACTCTTTTTCCCACTTTTTAGGTGGGGAGAAATTATTATTTTGACTGTAGCCAAATGCATTTTTCCGCCCTTGTCAACTTGTGTTGAGGCGGCGCCTAGGCGGCCGCCTTGACTGTAGTGCCTAGGCAGTGCCTTGCTCGCCTAGGTAGGCGCCTAGACACAAGCCGCGTCGGTGCTCTGCCTAGGTATTTTAGGCCGCTAGGCGGCCAAATTTTCGAACTCTACATACTCCATGCTGCATAGTCCATACTTCATAAAATCTTACTCATAAACTGCAAGTCTCCAACAAGACCAAATGGCCAATACAAAATGATATCATAGAAAAGACACAGGAGATCTTCAAATTTCAATCATCATCTTCATTCTTCAGAATCTTCTTCCCTGGAACGTCCATCTGAGTCATGGCCATCATCATATGAATCATTACCCTCTTCAATATATTGTTTCTCCTCAGTTTCTTCTGAATCTGCCTCCTACTACCCTTTCTTCCTCTTCTATGAAGCACCGATGGTAGTTGTTGATCTAGTGGTTCTTAGGGTCAGAACCCGGACTTGAGGCCTCCTCAACCACATCCCATGTCAAATCCTCCCTATGGAAAACCTCTTTAGTCCTAGGGTCTTCCACCAACCACTCACTACCATTCTCCATATCCTTAGAAGCGATGGGATTCCTCTTCTCATGTTGATTAAACTTCTCCTTAAACCTCTGATTATATCTGATGAGTACTAAATCATGAGCTGCCTTTGCTTCAGCCTTTTCCTTCTCTTCATATGCACCTATAAGAAAAAAAAGGTTCATGAAGTTCTACATGAGCCATCCATCTAGAATTTAAAAGTTCGACTTAAATAGAACTAAAAAGTTAAAGTATAATTAATACTATACCTTCTATAATAGAAGAATAATGTAACTTGTTAACAAGGAAACAATTAAACATACCATCTCAAATGAATTTCGTACACAACCAGAAGAGCTAGTAGTTAAACTCAAGATCCAAATAGCCATTATTTGGAGGTTTGGAGCACTCCCATACTTGGTCTACCACTGAGTTGCAAATAAGATGCAATCTCTATAGTTAGTTTCGGATATAAATTTGTGAAATTTGAAGACTTGTAAGGTTAGTAATTTGAAAATCTTAAAAGAAAATTTTTAAATGAAATATCACCTGATCAGATTTGGCCCTTTGCCTCACTGCCATTTCTTTCCCAAATGACTTCAATGCACACTTTTACAAGATCAATTCCTTAGCAGATATCTTATCTTGGATATCTGGCCTAAGAACAAGTCTCTGTAGGACTCTTTAAATCTGTCCATAATTGAAGGCTTACTCTCAATTTCTAGGTCAGCATAAGAAAACTTTGGGTTTAAATAGTACCTAGCTGCATGCGATGGCCTATGAAGCTGTCTATCCCACATTCCATCTAGAATCTCCCAAATTGGGCCATATTTGTCACTATCATCCAAGCATAGCACCTTGACTAAGGGTATAAATACTCTCAGTGAGTACTCCACCCTATGCTAAAAAAACGTTAAAAAGAATGATATCATGGGCCCTCTTTGCTTTGGAGTCTTTAAACCGCTTGCATCTGCTGCAATCCTCAGAAGTGAACATAGATTTGGGGTCCTCCTTGCCCATATGCTATGTAGCCTCAAGTATGCTGTAGCAAATCTGGTCACTCCCGGCCTCACTAGATCACTCTTTTTTGTAACTTGCACATCATGCTAAGAGTAATGGTATGACTATATATTAAAATTGTAACTTCTTTGCCTTAGTGTCCCTTTTTACACTAGGAATTTTGACCAATAGCCTCAAGATGTTTTTTGAACTTATTTATCCTGGCATTTGAAATATGACCACAAAAATTGCACATTATTTTATTTTCGTCATTTTTATCTGGATTAATACAATATTTCCATCCCTGATCTCCATTCCTACTAGAGACCCCAAGGAAGACATTTCGAACTGAGGAAATAAATCTCAAATACACCAACCTTTTTGCTCGATCTCTAAGCTTCAAAGTTTTGGGTGTATACCGAGTTCAATATCACCCCAAAAATCTTCTAATAACCTCACTTGGACCTTAAAACGTTTCTAATAAGATATGGTAAGGTTTGGGATGATTCTACAAACTTTCCAAAAATTTCTTGATACTAAAAGAAAATACAAAATCGATGGATTTTGTTCTTTTTGTAGGTTTGAGAAGAGTATTTTTCACTTTGAGGGTGTTAGAACCACCCCCCCTTTCTTTCTCTTTCTTCTCTCTTCCCCCCTTTCATGGGTCAAAATGACTCAAAATGCCCCCCCAAAAGGGGGTTTTCCGCCGTTTTTGTAGCCAATCGTAGGTCCCTGCCCAAGATTGGTGGGTGCCCAGGGTGGCCTCCCAACCCTAGCCTAGGAGGCCTTAGCCTCTTGGGAGTGGCACCTAGGCACTGGGCGGGCCGTTTTTTGAAACTTTGATTTGAAGTGTGTGTGCACTTCACTCGGAAATAGTTGTAAAAATAATTTAAACAAAAATAAAATGACCTAAATACCCCTCAAAATTTAAGGGGTACTTTTTATTTTTCAAGATATTTCTTCATACGTTTTACAAGTGTATGAGGGTGATAAGTATCGATGCCTAAAATTTTAGCTCAGTCCAATGGATAGAAAATAAAATTAAATTGAGAAAATCAAACATGCTCTCAATCATCCATTTTATGGTGATCTGCAACCACATTATTTCTTTTTTATGTGATCTAGACCACAGATTTTTTTAGACATATTATGGATGGCCTATTGTTTTAAATTCTCTATCGTGGAATGAATATAACTCTCTCATGATAAAAACTTTGATGAAAGGTTAAACTGGCTAACTTCAAATATCCGTTTTCTCAAAACCCCAGATTCAATCAAACACAGGTTATCAAACATAATCTTTGTCAGTTCTAGATACAAAATATCTATCTTACAAAAGTTCAGAACTTTCATTCCCTAGAGAACTGCCAATTTCCTGTTATCAAACAGGACCTTAAGGATTGCTATGGACTCTGGCATCAGCATTGAAGGTGCAATGGGTTGGAACCCTACTTTTGAAAGGGACCTCGCTGATGACAAGTTCAAGGAGTTGGCGACCATGTTGTCCAAATTTACAAGGTTCTTTCCTACCCCGGAGAGGCAGGGACTCTCTAATATGGTCACCCTCTGCAAGCGGAGTCTTCTTAGTCTCCTTCTTTGTAGTCCTCGGACCTAACCAATCCGCACCATCCATTACAAACAAGGTTTGGAGCATCCTTGTCCCCTGCAAGATTCAAGCCTTTAGCTTGATAGTGCTTTCCGACCGGATCCTTGTCATCAACCAGCTACATCAGAGAGGCTTCCTTATGCTCAATAGATGTGTCATGTTCTTGCAAGTGGAAGTGAACATTGACCGTTATTCTTATACTGCAAGGTGCTCCAGCTTGTGGTCCTCAAATCTGCAATGTATTGGTGGCCTTGGTCAACACTATGGTCAATCAAACAGCTATGTTAATTCTAATTCGCCCCCAGTTCTCGAATGCTGGCTTCTTTATGTCGAGAGCTGCCACACTCGCCACCTTGTGGTCCATCTGGAGAGAGGAACTCCAAGATCTTTGAAGGAAGTTAAACTAGCATCCAATCCATCCATGACCACATAAAAGCCTCCACAATATCCTGGGTTAGGGGATACAATGTTCTATGCACCTTTTGTCAGACTTTGTTAATAATTGGAGGGACATTTGGTTTCCAGTCCTTCACCAACTGCTAGATTTATTGTGTGGAACCCTTCCGACCAAGGCTAGCTTAACCTTAATATGGATGTTTGCTCGTTTGGCAACCCTAGCTCTGATGGGTATGTGGGCATTTTGAAGGACCACCAAGGAAATTCTTCTCTCTTTCTCCAGCTTTATAAGCATTTGACTCTACAATGGCCAAAATCATAGCACTTCTTGAAGGTCTAGGCTCTTTCTATCACGGTTACATGATTTGAAATCTGTGACACATCCTTACCCAAAACATCCTTACCCAAAACAGACTAATATTTATATCTTTTTGTTACAGGTTGAGAAATGGGTCAATCCTGTGTCTGGCCAATCAACAGGACGAATCAGGCATCCAGATTCATTACTAAGGTCAGTAGACTCTTTAGTTAGATATTCTCAAGTTAATGCTGTGGCAGTTGTGGGGCGGTTTCCTGATGATGGTCTGGAAGACATAGATGATTATCGTCATGGAAAGGTAGAGATATCATGAGCAAATGCTAATATATTAATGTGTATTTCTTTCTGTTTACTTGGTGATCAGTACATTTTACTTTTATTCTATTATGCTCCTTAAGAGATATTCTTCCTCTAATTGATGTTTGCAGGGTATAGATTTGTTGGCAGGAGTGGAGGCTGTTATAAGCCATCTAGTTGTTCAGAAATTTCAGATCCCCTGTGCTCATGCTCCTGCTCTGTCTCCTGTCCCACTAGATCCAACTTTATGCCCAAAATCGGCAGCTGAAGAGGTTATTAAGTTATTTATATTTTCTTTGTTTTCAAGGGCACTGCATCTCTCTCTCTCTTCACACACACACACACACGCACACAGCCACACCCTCACACTCTCACACAGGCTCTTGATCTGTGTGGTGCAGATCGGATACACCTTTTTACCATGTATCCTTGCTGGGTTAAGCAGAGCACCCCAATATGTGGTGAGAGGTGCAGGTTCCTCAGAGAGTGGTTGCCTTTTGTCAAGTGATGTGGATAGTGTGATTGTGCCCATCGATGCTTGTGGTGGGGAAGGTACTCTGGCATTTGCAAAACAAGCTAAAAAGAAGGTATGGCATCTGTTTTGTGGCCTATTGTCCCCAATAAATGTCGTCGTTATTACTCTACGCCTACTCCTGTTAAAAGAGTAGATTCCAACTTAATTTTAAGGACCCATTTTCAATATCATTTGAGACAACGTAGTTTTAAGGACCCACTTTCAATATCATTTGAGAATATCAAAGTTTAGAGAGAATGGAAATTGTTGGAATTACAGCAATTGAAAAGGTTAATAGTAGTTTTCTTCTTATACGTCTTTATTGTTGCAGCCTCTGATCATTGCTGTCGAGGAGAATGAAACCGTACTGAATGAAACACCTGACAAACTTGGGATTGAGGCAGTATGTTCTACCTTAAATTTTACTCTTTTTCTTCATGAATGGTTTTTCTATTTGTAGGACTAGTCATAAAAGCAATGGGATTTGGAAAACTGCAGGTTAAAGTCTCAAATTATTGGGAAGCTTTAGGGATCATTGCAGCCCACAAAGCTGGAATAAATCCCCATTCTCTGAGAAGAAATGGCATTGATAGGACCAAATGCTTTATGGAAATGTCTTCATCTAATGGCTGTGTGGCTTCTAGCCCTTTATAGCGGCGTTCCTCAACCATGTTGATATTTGTAAGATCAGTCTTATGGAATACGTTGAACCAAACTTCACTTTTTTGTTTTTTACTTCATATTGATTTGGGAAAGTAAAAGGAATGCCAAGGATGGTGGATTTTGAGTCATCCTTTGCATATTTGGCATCAAGAATTGAAAGTTGTGGTGCTCTTGCTATGTATCCAGAAATCTGTGTCTCCTGGAACAAAAAGAAAAAGAATCTGCATACCTCCAATGTAAATCCACCTGTTGGCTTGTCTATGAAGAATTTGCAGCACGCTTCTAAATGCTTCATTTATATGTAAAAATCACCTATGCAACTATTAGACTGAGCATGCATTCATAAATATATCCTTTTGGCCTAAATGTTCTTCATCGTCTCCTATCTCCTATCTTCTTCTATACCTGTATTTCTATTCTTGTGAATTGCATTTTTAATGGCATTTTGTTCTTTTTTAATAGGGAAAAGTTTATATAGAGCCGAGGCTCTAAATAATCAAATTTGAGCCTACCTCAAAAATTTCACTAGAAGAGGTTGTTTTGATGTCCAAATATCTTCAAATTGATCATCTCGACATCAAGATGTATAGACATGAGAAAAAATTGGATTGCAAGTTTTGGAAATAGTGTATTTTGTAACACATTTTTGGACCGTCAATTTTCAAGATTTTCAAGTTTTCATAGATAAGTTGATCTACACTATTTTTGAAACTTGAAACTTTATAAATAAAGATTTTCAATATTGAAACCACATTTCTCAACAGCATTTGAAGGTAGGCTCTAATTTGATTGTTTAGAGCCTAGGCTCTATACAAAACGCACCTTTTTTAATATTCTATTTGTTTTCGTTTTTTTTTTCATTTTTTTATTTTGGTTTTGGTTTTGCTTTGTTTGTCTAGTAACTTCATACTCCCTTACATTGTTCTTCTATTTCTTTATTCTCTTATGTTTCCATAATCTTTGGTTTTACTGTATCATCTTTGGTTCTACTTTATTCTCCATTACTTCTTTCTTTTACCTTCCTCACTTTTGAGATTCATTTCCTAAATATTTATTCTCTTTTGTTTACTATTCTACTTTGTCGTTATGGTTGCCTTTATTATTGTATTCGCATGGGGTATGTGTGTTAATTTTCCTTTTCCGATGTCATTTTTGTTTTCTGTTTGTGAATATTTTTCTATTCTTAATTTGTGTTGTTTATTGCACATCTTCTACTTCTTCTTGCTCCTTCTTTAAGTTTTGACGAAATGAGTATTTTAAAAAATGCCGAGCCAGCTTGGAAGCTCAAAACCAATGGTGTGTTAGTCCAAGTCCCTGCTCCCTGTTTTCTACTAGTTCCCACCGGTTTTTTATTTTTATTTCTATTCTCACTAGGAAAGAACCCCGGAGAATCAATGAGCCGGTTTGGGCAGTTCCATGGTTCCGACTAGGCTCGGAACTAGCATGGACCAGTTCGACCACTGCTCTAGTCTTCTTTTCATTTTGGAAGTTCAATGAATCTGTTTTTCCCTAATGTGGATAGTATCAGAAAATTGTTGTTCTCTTGTTCACATTAATTTGCTGCATGGCTTATTTGAGACTTGAGGTTCATTCACTGATGAATTCCCTTTGAAACTACTTAGTACTTACCCATGGAAGGCTGAAAGGTGGCAACAAATCTTTAAATGGACGTGGGAAGTTGGACAACTTTTAAGATTATGACACAGTGATTTAGTACAGGTTATATGCTAACTTTGATGGTAATCTTCAATGCTTCATTCTTTTAAGCTAGTAAATATTGAGATATTTTAGTATGGCTTTGGATGAGTTGCAAATGTATCTCCTTGTCTGCAGATGCCAAAGGGTACTGTTGTGGAGGTTCCTAGTTAACATGAAAATTTCATATGAGATGATTGGTCGGGGTGGGCTGTCTCTCATCTGCCATTGATTTGCTGGCTGACCATCCCCACCGTTCATTGGGCATTTACCTGGCCTGTCATCTCATGAGATAGGTTTACTAGCTGTTTTTTGAGGGTTACAATAAATTTTCACAGTGGCTCTTTCAAGAGATCTGGGATGGGGCCCTTCATCTATGGTTTTATTGGAGAATGCATGGTCGTCAACATCTTTGCCCTCACAACTCTACCTCAACTTGGCTGACAATGGATGATTTGTATTCCATGGGAAAGCTAGCCACCCATGAACTCGGTTGATTGTTTCTGTCACTAAAAATATTAGCAGAGATTATTGCCAACATGTTTCTATCTGGGCTCTTTATAATAAATCTTGACCTCATGTATACTTTTTTTTTTTTTCTCAATTAAAAAATCTACCTATCTTGTTAAAATGTTGTGAAAGAGAAATGAATCTTTCCACGAAGAAGACATTGAGAGGAACATAAAATGAGATGGAAGCACAAAAGGCTTTTATTGTACAATAGCCATTCTATTATCCAAATTCCAAAGTTCATAAATAAAAGGGCTTCAGGATGCTTCTATTACAGGTGGTAAACCAGCTAAGGAACCCATCATTGCGAAACCATATGCTACTGTGTGTTTGTTGTGAATCAGTCTTCTTATGACCGACGTGAGGGCTTGGGGCCTTGGCAGTGGTACTGCCACGCCCTAAGTTAAAGTCTCCGACTCCATTGTCACCAAGGGTAAGGGCCTAAATTCTCACTAACTAACCCTTTATGACTGATGTCCAAGAAAGTCACGTCAATGAATATTTAGCTAATCAAGCACAAAAGTTGTATGTCATTATTGCAAAATACTGAAGCCAAGTTGTATGTCATTATTGCAAAATGCTAAAGCCAATACTTGTAAACTGTCGAAATATAATAATATATTAAGGATCCAGTTTCTATGCGGCCTAGCCCCGTATATGTAAAAATGCGGGCCTATTAATAAATCTATTTGAGATGGATTTTTGGACTTAATTTTTAGAGATGTAATTTCTAACATGGAGATCATGAATATGATAAAATAAATAAATTTTAAAAACTAGAAATAATAATTTTAATACAAAAACATTTGGATCATTAGTTTCTATTGTTTTTAGATATAACACCAATTTGCATCATCTTTAAGATGGATGCTTTACACTTTTTGGACTGCAAATGTAGTCATGCGGTCCAGCCCACATGAGACAATTTCCATATATTAATTCCAAGTGGCAAAATCTTGTTGCTGTTGTCTCCAATGATGGATATCTAATTCTCTTATGATGCAAACAGCAACTACCATGCCTGCTTTGCTCAATGTGCACTATTCAAGAGCTTCTCCAATCTCTCCAAGTATCACTAAGATAAGGTAATACCACAAGTGCTTCATTAATTGATTTGAAAATCTTAATAAATCTTTTAAGCAGTCCAAAATGTCAGGTGTTATTTTTTTTAAAAATAAAAAATAAAAAAATTGTCAGCTGTTATTTTTTTTAAAAAATAAAATAAAATTAAATTGTCAGCTGTTATTCTTTAATTTCAAGGTTGGTAATTATAGACACCCCATTTTGGCTGGCTGAGTTTCTCTGTGTCCCAAAACCTAGGACTTGAGCTTTAAAGCTTAAATGCCCTTTTTGAATTATGGCAGACCCATCTTTGCGGAATTCCCTAAGGAGACTACCTTGTATATCAGTCCGACACCCATGGAACCTTGAAATGGGAGACAGTTGTTATGAAACCACAAACATATCATCTAAATTAGGCTAAATTTGTCATTTAGCCTGTAGATGATTTTATACGCCTTCAAATAATACAAGAATCACTCAACCCGATGCACGATTTGAAAGTTATGACCCAAATATGACATGTTTGCAAACATTTCAAACATTTCATTGTAGTCCCTGACAACGCCACATGACACTTCACCGGCGACATGGAATACATCTTTTGCAGGGGATGAGGAGGCCCCATAAGGTCCCAGTCCCGTTTCAATCTGGAAGGCATTTCAATCTGGAAGGCTTTATACAATGCCTGGAGATATAGAATGTCTAAAACCTTCAAAAACTAATGCTATGCCTCACCATATATTGAGAGAGAGAGAGAGAGAGAGAGAGAGAGAGAGAGAGAGAGAGAGAGAGATTTCTCCCATTACCCAAGGCAACAAAAATAAACTGTATTCTTAACCTAAATAGAGCAAATCATATAAATTGTACTCATAATCCAAATAAGAGCAAATCATGACCTAGCAAAAAAACTGTCCTAATAGTAAATCATATGCTACTAGATGCTGTTCAATTTCCTACTCTAATGATCTAACCAGATCCAAGTTTCTCAATCCCTCAAATAAGGAACTACATTACTAATCCTGTCATCAAACCCTGAAAAAACAAACTCGTTGCTTAATGCGACTTCCGTTGGATGAGGCCCCTGAACCATGAAGCCGACATCTTGGGGTACCTTTTAAGAGTCTGGTAATCGACATAGACCAAGCCAAACCTCGAGGTGTAACCCAAACGCCACTCAAAATTGTCAACCAACGACCAAGCAAAGTAGCCAATAACGTTTGCACCATCATCAATGGCCTTCTTTAGATTGATTAAGTATGACCTATAGTAGCTAATTCTTTTTGTATCATGCAATGCAGCAGGAAGGGTAATATTGGCAGCATAATCCATCCCTAAACACCAAAGATAAACAAACAAATAATTTAGCAACAGTAAATACCCAACAAGCAAAACACAAAGATTTGTTGTTCAATCCAAACTATAAGTAAATAAACAACATATTGAACCACTTCCATGAATCAGCAAATCCCAAAAGTGTTTCATGAAGAGGACTATAAGTTGTTTTTTGTAATCTGTTTAACTATTAAAACAAAGCTATTTCTAAAAGGAAAATAAGCAAAACCACAACATAAGTAGCATTGTTACCATTTTCAGAGAGAATCATGGTGGGATTTCTGTAGTTCTCCTTGATGTAAGTCACAGCTTTGTACATTCCCCATGGAACCATATAAAGCCAGTAAGAGTTTGCCTGCAGATCATTCACGGTATTGTCGTGTGAATCCTAAAGCTCTGAGATTCATGTTGCATCTAGTGTTTTAAAAATTCATTTACAAAAGTGAATATAAATTTAACATCCACTGCTGAAACGAAGTGGAGTCTTGGACATCATTTCCTCCTAAATTAGGGTCCTTTTGTTAAAAAAAGGGTAACCCTAGCAATAATAATAATAATAATAATAATAATAAAGTGCGCAGAAGGGCTAGGGTGTACAACATTTTTTGAAAGATTACATCAAAACTATCAGAAAACAAAAGATGCTACCCTTTATCTCGATGTGTAATGCACTGTATAATGTATAGAAGAAATTAGATCTGATAAAAGAACTCACCTGAGGTCCAATAAGTTTCCCATCACGAGAATCTGGACATGACCAGAGCCAAACTCAGTAGGAGGATTAAAATGGAGAACCAGTAGGGACAATCAAAGCAAACTATGCATGTTTAAAGTGCTTTTAAATGCAGAGAAATAAATGTTTAAGCTGTGGATGGCTGTCCATTGATCAAATCATACAATATGATAGCTGTTCTTCCTTTCAGTTTTTTTTTGGAGGGAAAACTTACATTCGAATCCAGCATGCCAATCCATCTGGTAATCAGTGACAGTGCCGTTTTTAATATGTTGATCTGTTATATAATACGAGGTATATTGGTTGATCCCAACAAAATCTATAGACCCCTTCACCATCTCAACTTCTTCATTCGTGAACTTTGGAAGTCTGTCACCCACAACCCTCACCATTGATCTTGGGTATGTGCCGAATACAATTGGGTGCAGAAACCTATAAAAAACAGAGACAAATTAGTGCTTGTATAAGGTGTAAAGTTTGTGTTGTATACTACATTGAATTCGGTTTAATCTAGAAAATGGTAGAAAGGAAGAGCAAGGTAAACCAAAAATATTGCATAGTACCAAATTATTATATTCATATAAAGAGAAAATAGCCAGAAGTAACATATATGCATTATTCATATAAAGAGGAAAATTGCCAGAGGAAGCCATATATGCATCATGGGAAACATTCTTACCACCCAATATGAAAATCTCTTGACCTCTGAGCTGCTCGAACATCAGCCTTAGCATTAGAAAAAGGCTCATACCACACAAAATCTAAAAGAATTCCAATTCTTCCCTTCTGGGTAGCCTGTATGTTTTCCCAAGGGCAACAATTCAGTAACAAAATCAACAGAGGCAAAGTCTTATCTCACCAATAGTTGGAGGAATCTTTTACCTGATATTTCTCTCTGTATCTTTTCACTGCTGATGCATGAGATAGAATAAGATTATGAGCAACAATGTAAGGCTCAGTTGAGGAATCCCCAGCCGTGCAGTTCATCCCATCATTCCCAAAAGGATTTGAGCATCTCCCAGGAGCATGGAAGCCATTATCATAGCCAAGTGCAGCAATAACCCTAGGCTCATTGAAAGTCATCCAGTTCTTGACTCTGTCTCCAAAAGTTTTGAAACAAAAGTCTGCATAAGCTGCGAAATCATCCCTGCAAATTCATGAAAATTAAAGTTTTAAGCTGACCTAACAACAAAAATAAAAGGAATGAGATCTGTCCTGAGAGGATGAACTGAAAGATGATAAATAACTAAGCACTGAATCTTTTTTACAAATAATTTGAAGCTGAAACAGGACAAATAAATTCATATTGATGCCGAAAGAAACAACGGAAATGGGTAGCAATGTAGCATTCCAGTTATTGGAGTGGACCAAGGTCTTCTTAAACTATAAGATGATTGAGAAGCTCGGCATGTTTAAAAAACAACAAATAAAATTAAAGCACAAGATATATACTAATGAAAAGAAAAAAATAACTTATCAAGCTCAACCCAGAAAATAGGAAAAGAACATCAAACTTACACAACTCTGCGGTTTAGCAGCCCATTGTAAGAATCCTCAAGGGCCTGTGGCAAATCATAGTGATAGAGATTTGCATAAGGAGTAATGCCTGTAAGATGCAATTCAGTATAAGGCCACTATCAATTAAATAAGCAAGTTCAACAACTAAAAAATGATCCAAAACCCAAATTTTAAAGTTAAAACAAATATGAATAATAAGCATTTAAATACCCTTTTCAAGCAAGTAATCAATCAATCTGTTGTAATAATCCACGCCTTTCTGATTAACTCGTCCTGCACCTTCTGCATGATGAAAGAGTGATTCAACTATTAGAGACAAACTATAAATAAGAATTTATAATATAGCTATCGGATGTAAATATAAATAAAAAATCTACATACTAACCAATTTTAAAGAAAATCAAAATCTTAATACTAGTTTTTACCCGGAAAGATTCGAGACCAAGAGATAGAAAATCTGTAAGCATCCATGTTCATATCTGCCATGATATCGACATCTTCCTGCATCAAAAAAAAAACACCCATAAAAATTAATTTTAAAAAATATCAAAATAAAATATCCAGTCAAAATCTTAATGATAATATACATTGTCCTGTTTAACAAAAAAGCAATTTTTTTTTTAAGATTTAAATACGTTAAATACCTTATAACGATGGTACTCATCAGCAGAAACCTCTCCTGTAGCACCATTTGGTATTATACCTGTAAAAAACAAAATAGTTAATTATATAATCATATGAATTCAGTGACATAAATAAACCAAATTCGGTAAAAAAAAAAAAAAGGAGAGATAAAAAATCAAAAAAGAAAAAAACAAACTTCAAAGAACAAAAGAAGGATACCAGATTCAAAAGGAAAGAAAACCGAAATTCACATAAAGAAAGACATCAAGGACTGAATTATGAATTTGATTGTTCTTAAGATTTACCGGGTTGTTGAATAAACACATCCCATATACTAGGTCCTCTGCCATCTTCATGTGCAGCTCCTTCGACTTGATAAGCAGAAGTCGCGGTTCCGAAGACAAAACCAGGAGGAAATCGCTCTCGACTCAGGCCACCGGTGCTCATAGACCCTGCGTTGGGCCAAACCAGATGCTCACCTAAGCAGCATTGGTGAACTAAGCTCGAGAAGAGCAGAAAAACTAAAAAAGAAGAAGGAAACTTCATCTTCTCTCTCAAAACTGTAAGTACAGAGAAAAATGGGTTCTGAAAAGTCGATGGGGGAGGAGGGCATTTATAACAGAGCAAGGCCCAAAAAAACAGGAGTTCTTTCATTAAATCTTAATCTTTTCAGCAATAACGAGGATAGAGAAGCCGGGAATCCGAATGAAAACGATAAGAAGAACACGTTAGAGAGGGAAAGAAGGATGTTCCTTCACACATCTCGAAAGAAAGCAATATTGTGCGATATTCGTTAAGATAATGAAGATTTTCTTTTGATCCTCTTATCCGGCATAGGAATGGAGCATTATCCAGCGTTGCCAACTCATCACCCAACATGGTAACAATTTATCCCAGGTTTGTTTTCTAAAAGGGCTATTTTTTAGCAGAGAGAAAGGAGCATGAAACGTGTGGGTTGCTAAAAACTCATTATAGTGTGATTTGTTAGGAATTTTTTAAAATAATTAAGGATAATGTTAGGGTACTCGTAATCAATATTTTTAAACATTTATTACCTTTGTTTTGTAATAAATTTTTTTTAATAAGTATATTTTTTGTCGTGAGTTTTATAGATATTTTTATAGAAAACTAGTGGTAATTAATTCCATATGTGGGAGATGTCACGTCTCATGAAGATGATGTCATTCTCCACTTAGCTAATAAATATTTTTTGTACAAAATTTTTATTTTACTCTTGATTAATTATCTAAAATACCGTAGATAAAAATATTATTACATTATAGATATTTTTATAGAAAATTAGTGGTAATTAATTCTATATGTGGGAGATGTCACGTCTCATGAAGATGATGTCATTCTCCACTTAGCTAATAAATATTTTTTGTACACAATTTTTATTTTACTCTTGATTAATTATCTAAAATACCGTAGATAAAAATATTATTACATTATAGAGTGAGGGTATCAAGTTCCAAAAATGTTAAGTACAATAAAAAAAGGGATTGTATATAATGAAGCCATTTACTTTTTATACAAAAAAGTCACAATTATTTATAACTATCCGATATGAAATCTGATAACTTGGGTGTGTTATAAAGTTCAAGAAAAATTCTTTCGAAGTTTGCACTTGATCAATGGAATAAATGCAACCATTCTATTTCACATCTAACGGTCAAGATTAATTGTGACCACCTTTTACCAAAGGTAAATAGTCTCGTTGTATATTTTTCTTTTAAAATATACTCAATGTGTAGGAGTACCCTAACATAACTCAATAATTAAAGAACAAATATATATTAATTTTACAATTTAGTAGGGTAAAATCGCTTGTGAAATTATCTCAAAATATTTGAAAATTTGAAAAGGTGCTCAAATGCCCATGAGAAAACTATTATTTTTGCATTGAAAAAATTCTAATGGTTTCAAAATAATATTCTTTAACGGGAAAGGTTTCTATGTTTCCCTTACATAATTCTATGTTTCCCTTACATAAAAAATTCTATTGAGTGGCTGTAATTTTGGTATAAATTTTCTTTAGGATGGCTTTATAATCTATTTTCATAACTAATTATGAAGTTTTAAATTCCAAAAATAGCCCAAATCAAGTAGATCTAGAAACCTAAAACTTTTTTGAAAATAGGCAATCTAGATAATATGTTGTAAGATGCATTATTTTTGAGATTTAAAATATTTATTTATCTGTATATTCATACATGTCAATGTTGAGATGATTAATTAGAGGGTTTTCGAACATCAAAACATTTTTTTTCGATAGATTTTTTTGGTGCACCTTAATTCTACATTTTAAGGTTGCGACCTTACATTAAGTTTTCCTTCCTTATATTTTAATCTTTAATATCTCATTTGGAGAGATGATGTTTGACTTATTTTTTCACAAAAAATAATCGTTTGCCTACTACTTGTCTATAGGAAATGCTACTCTGATCTCTAGTTCTTGTACTAATGTACTTGTACATGCAAGATATGTTGCATCTTCTGTTCCATGTTTCTGGGGACCAAAATTTGCCTCGAGAATTTAGATGCAGATATTACTAGTAATTTTTGTTTGAAAAATGCTTTAGTGTATTTCAAAACAACACTTTGGTTTTATTGTTTTTTACTAAAATGCTTTTATAGAGAGAGGAAGATGTGAGTTTGAGTCCCACATTGAAGAGGAGAGAGTTTGTTGAGCTGTATTTAAGAGCACACATTCTCATGAAATGTACTCTAAGCATAAAGGAGATAGATAGTGCATGTGCAGAGCATGCAAACTGTGCCACGCCACCCACATGACTCTTTATAGAGTTATGAGGTACAAGGGAGGTTGTAGTAGTTATAACGGACTGCATGTAACTTGTAGCTGTTGGAGGAGAGTTATAAATGGGCTGCATGTAACTTGTAGCTGTTGGAGGAGAGTTATAAGGGGCATGTAACTTGTAGCTGTTGGAGGAGAGTTATAAGGGGCTGCATGTAACTTGTAGCCCTAGTTATAAGGGGTTGCATTAGTTATCAAGTGAGTTATAAGGGGCTGCATGTAACTTGTAGCCATAAGGGGCTGCATGTAAGTAAGAGTTATAAGGGGATGCAATCTAACTTGTGCTGTTGGAGATCATTCTTTACAATTCCGGCAAGTAAACTAGTGGTCTAAACTCTCTCTCTTTACTCGATTTTGTTTCTTCTTCTTTCGCTCTCTAAACTATCACGACTTTGGTGTCTATTTTGTGAGTTCCAAGCTCGGGTGCATAGAGGACTGAAAAATACCTCTTTGTTTTCCTGTATCCTGAAGACGAATTGCCCTTTTCATGCACATCAAATAATCTATCGAAAGGGGACAAATATCGTATTGAGATAATGCTCATGCGTGCCCAAAAACAAAAAGAGTTCAAGATCCTATTTTTACAAATTGTACTTTTTTTTGCCCCATTTCACCCAACCAATCTCCAACAATTTAAGACAATTTTTCATGGGTGAAAGAAAGAAGACAGCCACCTGCCATGACTTCTTTGAAGGTCATGAATCACAACTTTGCTCGATTCGAATGCTTCAACGGGCGGAACTTCAAGAGATGACAACATATGTTCTCTTTTTGCTTACCACTCTCAAAGTGGCTTACATAGTCGTTGAGTCAAGGCTTGCACTGCCGCCACCATCGGATGACTCCACTAAAGAGCAAACTCAATCATACAAGAGATGGATTGAGGATGACTATATATGCAATGGTTATATTCTAAATGCCTTGGCAGACCCGATCTATGACATGTATGCCTCCATTGGCATGGCGAGATAGTTATGGAAACTACTTGAAACCAAGTGCCTCACGAAAGAGTTTGGTAACAAAAGATTTATGATCTCTAGCTTTTTAGATTTTAAATTCATTAAAGAAAAGCTTATAATCTATCCAGTAAATGAGTTGTAGCTTGTAGTCAATGAACTTAAATATTATGGTATTTTTAAGGATGAATATTTCCTAGTAAGCTCCATAATTTATAAGTTACCCCCCATCTTGGAGAGAGTACCAAAAGAAGATGAAACACAAGAAAGTTGATATTGATTTGGTTCAACTTCAAAGATCTATTCGTATTGAAGATGAGAATAGATTTAGGGAAAAGAAAGATGAATCAATTAATTTTCACTCTAAGGCAAACTTTGTTGAGCTAAAATCAAATGCTCATTTTAATAAGAAGCATTTCTTTGCTAAGATCCATAATAAAAATTATAATGACCAAAAGTCTTGCCAACAAAAATAAAAAGAAAACCACTTGTTATGTATGTGGAAAACTGGGGCACTTTTTAAGCGAGTGCCAACATCGTAAAGAGCTCAAATGGCCAAGAGGCCAAGTGAGCTTGACCATTGAAGAAAAATTTATAGCAATAGTAACCGAAGTAAACATGATCAATAACGACAATGGATGGTGGGTCAATATCGGCTCTAACATTCATGTGTTTAATAATCGAGATATGTTTAAGACTTTTGAACTAGTGGACGATGGTAATTTTAATTCAACTTGGAACCCAACCTATGAAAAATATGCTTGGAAATGGTATGGTAGAACTAAAGTTTAGTTTGAGAAAAGTACTCCCTTTAGGAAATATGTACTATGTACTGAACACGAGAAGAAACCTTGTTTCATGATATATATTGAATAAGAAGGGCTTTAAAATGGTCATTGGGTCTGACAAACTCATCTTCACAAAAAATGGTGTATTTGTTGGCAATGGATACTCATGTGACGGAATGTTTAAATTTGATTTGTTAATGAAATGCATAAGTCTTCTACGTATGTTGTGACTTCATGTAATGTATGACATGGTAGATTAAGACATGTTAATTATGCTCCCATTAAATCTTTGGTTAAAATAGGATTAATTTCTAATTGTAAAAAATTAACTAAAGAAAAATGTGAAGTATGTGTACAAGCTAAAATTGCTAGAAAATCATTTCCTTCAATTGAAAGAAAAAGTGAATTATTAGGACTTATACATAGTGATGTATGTGATTTAAATAATGTTCTAACTAAATGTGGTAAAAGATATTTTTATCTTTATTGATGATTTTTCTAGATTTTCTTATGTTTATTTGCTTAGACATAAAGATGAGGTTTTTGTAAAATTTAAAGTTTTCAAAGCGGAAGTTAAAAATCAATTTAGTAAGAAAATAAAAATTATTAGAAGTAATAGAGAAGGAGAATATTTATCAGATAACTTTAATGAATTTTGTGAAAACAATGACATTATTCATCAAGTGACTACTCCTTATACCCTTAAACAAAATGGACTGGCGGAAAGGAAAAATAGAACTATAGCTGAAATGGTAAATGCAATGTTTATTTATTCCTCCTTGACATTGAATTTGTGGGGTGAAGCTTTATTAAGTGTATGCTTCATTTTGAATAGAATTCCATATAAAAAAAGCTATAAGACCCCTTATGAGCTTCAATTTGATAAAAAACCTTCTTTGAATTTTTTTTCAAAGTATGGGGTTGTTTTGCATATGCTAGACTTTCAGATCATAAAATAAACAAATTGTATCCTAGAACATCTAAATGTGTTTTTGTGGGATATTCTTATAATAGTAAAGCATATAGATTTTTAGATCTAATTTCTAACACAATTTTGGAATCTAGAGATGCTGAATTTTTTTAAAATCTCACTTGTTAAAATGAAGTTAATGAATCAAACATCATGCAAAATGAAAATAATCATGAAAATGATCATAATATTGATGAAGAACATGTAGAAAATAATGATGATGAAATAATAGAACCAAGAAGAAGTAAGGGAATCAGAGGTGATCCTTTTTACAATTTTGGACTTGACTTTTATATTTATTTTGTTGAGGCTAATCAAAATAAAATTTTGAATTCATTTATAATCTCAAATGTGGAGGAA